TGGAAACTGCGAGACGAATTTATTAAGCCTAATTAATTTATCATTAGCGCATGTTAGTTATTGTAGCACTTATGGCTAATCATGGACTAATTAGTCTTAAAACATTCGTTTCGCGATTTCCAACCAAACTGTGCAATTAGTTTTTTCGTCTATATTTAATACTCTATGCATGTACCGCAAGATTCGATGTGATAGTTTGGGGTGAAAATTTTTGGGAACTAAACCAGGCCTTAGCTGTTCCTGGTTCTCTCCTCGTCAACCTTTATTTCCATGTCCCTTTTTCCCTCAATTTTCTCCCTATCTTAAGCACGTTTAAAAAAAAAGAAGAAGAAATTGTCCTTTCTTCTTGGCGGAGAAACACTCATCCATCTTTACTGCAACTTGTAGCCAGAGAATCGCGTGCTGAATTTCGAGCTTTTTCCGCTTGTCCAACAATTTCTGTTTGCATTTTATTTTAAAAACAATTTTTATTCCATTCTAAAAGCCTTAGGGGACATCAATAATAATATATCTATGAAACTATATTCTTATAAAGCTAATTCCCAATTAAGTTATATCTCAACATGCAAGCCATTCACTAACTATCTACATTATCTTCCTCTAATAGCCATATGATCCCACTAACTTCCAACCCATTAATACAACTAATTTTGATAAGAAAATGAATGTAAGAACATGTAGATAGTTTATGACTCATATATGCAACAGTTTTATTTTTAAGAGGGCCCCGTAGCACAGAGGTCTAGACTAACTCTGTAACTTGTAGAGTAATTTAATATGGTTTATGTATTTATATGTAGTCTAAGCTTTTTAATTTTAACTAAATAATTCATCTAAGTGCTCTTAGCATACCACCCACCTTTATATCCAAGATTTTTAGGACCTAAAGCTTTATCAAACAAGACCTAAACAAAAACAACGCAGTACTTTATGATTGCAATTTTTTTATGGAATTTTGTTATGAATCTCCAATTAATCTATCTCAAACCTCTGGACGATAATTTCTCTATAAGTTGTATATGGCAGCCAATCGAAGCCACTCATTTTGAAACTATCCCGTATAACTGTCGGTCTTTTATGGAGAATTATTTCAGTTGTCGCATTAATCATGATACTAGCGCTACAGAAATTATGAAATCTATGTAGAAATATTGTGTTGAGCCAGCCAATTAATTTGGCTCTTGGTGTGTGATCCCAACGAAATAATTTTTCTGGTTGAAATGGTAGTCAAAACTTTTTAATTTTAACTAAATAATTCATCTAAGTGCTCTTGACGTACCACCCACCTTTATATCCAAGATTTTTAGGACCTAAAGCTTTATCAAACAAGACCTAAACAAAAACAACACAGTATTTTATGATTGCAATTTTTTATGGAATTTTATTATAAATCTCCAATTAATCAGTCTCAAACCTCTCGACGATAATCTCTCTATAAGTTGTATACGGCAGCCACTCGAAGCCACTCATTTTGAAACTATCTTGTATAACCATCGGTCTTTTATAGAGAATTATTTCAGTTGTCACATGAATCATGATCCTAGCGCTACGGAAATTATGAAATCTATGTAGAAATACAAATTTGACAGAACTTCCAGAGTTGATTCTCTGCTGAATCCAGCAGGAGCTCTACTAAACAATTTTTCAAAGAAAAGTGATTCTGCTGATTCTGCAAGTGATTCTCTGAAATGAACTAAGAGGCTGTGAGCTGAAAAAAGTAGCTTCTCCAGATTTTGTGAAGTGATTCTCTATCGTGATTTTAAGAGTTTATGCTAAAGAATCAAAGAGAATCACTTCAGCCACATAATCACTTCTTTCAAAGAATCAGCTTTCATAGAGAATTAGAATCAGATGGAGCTCTACAAAAGAAGCCCTTATATCGTGATGAGCCAGCCAATTAATTTGACTCTCACTCTCAGTGTGTGATTCCCACGAAATACAGTATTTTGTCTGGTTGAAATGGGATGTTCACAACAGGACATGAGACAGCATGATCATCATAGGACTTGGATAAAAAAATCGCTATAAAACCTTTACATTGCCGACGCAAATTGTTTCCTTCTGGGAAGTGCCATGCAAAACATCCATCTAACGACGAACAAACAGGTTGAATATTATACTACTACTAGGACATCATAGCGTGTGGATCGGATAATGCACAACTAGCCAGAGACTGGTCGGCGTTGATATTTATCTGGTCTCCGACTGCGATGGATGGATCGACATGCAAATCCCCCCGAGTAGTAGTATTTATATTTATATGGCCTATATGATGGGGCTCGGCAAGTTGGCTGCGGTTACCATGCATGCTTTGGTCGTCGACTGCTAGTCCGCTGATGACAACCAAGCAACGCGCGGACAGAATTGAGGCTTGATTAGTGGCCTCATCTCAGCAGTCAGCTCCTTTAATTTGCTGATTAATTGCAGGCGTGTGCAGTGCAAACCTGTCGTAGACATCTCATTGATATATAATAATTGACTATATATACGAAAACAATTTCCCAGTTAGTTGCAGATCAGTATGTTGCTGTGTGCAGATGATTTATGATTAGCACGCAGCTGATCCATAGCACCATAATACGCATATAGGCCCCGTTCGCTTCGCTGAAAAAACAAGTGAAACACTGTTCCGACTGATTTATTAGGAGAGAAAAACATTGTTCCGACTGAAAAAACAAGAGGCTGAAAAAAAAACAAATTATAAGATAAACAATCAGGCAATAATATGCATGCTACGCAGTTTGCCAATCAGTGCTGAACCTTCTAGATATATTTGTTTATCAATCATGCCGACTGCAAGCCGTGAGTCGCCTCACCGGGTTTTTCCCCAGAAAGAAACCAGGTGCAGTTGACTGCAAACAAGGTGCAGCTGCTAGCCTGGTTCTTCGTAGCGACCGATCGAACCAGAAGGGGAAAAAAAAAACTCTCGATGATTGTACATCTGACTGAGCCAATCAGATGGCTACCAACAGTTCTCAGTTCTAGTTGCATGCATGTATCCGAGGAGCGAGGAATATGCGCTAGATCTTCGCCCAACATAGCTTCACTCACCCTTCTTCGACTAGGGGTGGACCGGGCTAGGTCAAACCTTTTGTTTTCCAGAACGGCCCACTGACAGAGATATCTAGGGCCTATTCAGCAGGACTGAAAAATATTGTTCCGGCTGATTGTGTGAGAGAAAAATACTATTCTGTCTGGACGTGAATAGTATTTCTATGAGTGAGCTGGCCAGCCGGACTCAGCTCAGCCAGCCAACCAACGAACGCTCCCCTAAATAGTCTTTTCATGGGACTGATTGAAGAAGTCTGGTAAAAGTTGGTGGCGCTGGCGCTCAAGTGTTGCTGTTAACTGGAACGTTCTTTTCATAGTCAAATAAGCGCCGTCCAAAGTCCCATGCACACGTACTAACTAGACATTTTTTTATCATTTTTTATTTTTTGGAAACACACTAAAAAGTAAAAACTGAGAACCATATACACACGTATTGAGGGACTGGTTGGAAAGTAGAAATTTTATTCGAATCATATATAAATTTTACAAGAATGGTTTGATTTTACAGAAAAAATAAGATTTTGGAGAAAATCCAGTGTTCCAAACAGGAAAAAAAGCATTTTTATAGGAATGGTTCAATTTTGCAGAAAAAATAAGATTTCGGAGAAAATCCGATGTTCCAAACAGGAAAAAAAGCAAGAGGGAGCATGCATGGGCTTATGTTCCACTACAACTAACCTAACCACCAATTGAGTTAAGCTCGGTTTGCGATTAAATTTTCTACTTCCGTTTTCGTAAATATAACTTTCTCCTAAATTAATTTTCTTCATCTTTGACTATTAATATCTAAAATTATATAGATTGACAGCACAAGATTGATATTGTTAGATTCATTATGAGAAACATTTTTTTCATAAAATACGAATCTTGTTATCTTATAAGCGTAGCTCAATTGATTGGGTTACATGTGGTGAAACCTATCTGCCTGGAAAAATTTTTTAAAATATTACTAATATTTTCTATAAATCTAGTCAAATTTAATAAAGTTTGATCAGCACACAAACCATAACGACAAATATTTAGGAATAGGGAGAGTACACTCTTAACCCAGAAAGGTTGTTTGAAAAAAAAGGGGTTTATATATACTACCGAAGTACCGAACCAATCCCCAGAGTCAGAGTCAGGCCGGGCAAGGGTACCACCCAAAGTCCGGTAAACGTAAACGGTAAACCAACGTCATAGCGGGAGCATTCCGAAGTCTGAACGCGGTCAGGGGGTGTTTGGTTCTGTAGTCGCTTCTAAAATTTATGTCACATCAAAAATGTTTAGAGGCTAATAAGGAGCATTAAATATAAATTAATTACAAAACCAATTACATAGATGGAAACTAATTTCTGAGACGAAATTTTTAAGCCTAATTAATCTATCATTAGCGTATGTACCGTAGCACCACGTTGTCAAATCATGGACTAATTAGGCTTAAAAAATCCGTCTCGTAAAATAGTCGCAAGTTATGCAATTAGTTTCGTAAGAATTACATATTTAATACTCCGCGATATGTCTAAACATTAGAACTCGAGGACCAAGCCCTTAGTTGTGCGGCTGCCGTGCCCCTCGCCGCGCCGCGATAGACTCGAGGACCACCAGCTCAGCAGAGTGCCCGAGTCCACCGCCACTCCAAGGACCAGACTGTCTTCGATAATCACGACCCAAAATACAAGACTACGAGACAGTCTCTGCCTGCTCGCTACCTTTGCTTCCGCTCCAAAAAACCCAATAAAAAACGCACCTTTCCTTCCCATCCCCTTCGCCTCGCTTCCACCCACCCCCCCACCCCTTTCCTCCCTCGATCCCCTCGCCGGGAAGATCCCATCCCAATATCCCATCAACCTCCACCTCCACCTCCCGGCGCAGTCAGAGTTTCCCGTCGGCGGAGCAGGAAGGCGGAAACGAAAGGAATGTTGCACCTTTGAGCGGCGCGGCGATCCGGTGTTCCTTCCTGGCCGGCGATGGGCTGCTTCTCGTGCTTCGACTCCCCGGCAGATGAGCAGCTCAACCCCAAATTCGGTGGCGCCGGTGGGTACGGCGGCGCGTCCTCCGCCGCCGCGGCGTACGGCGCCGGCGCCGGCATCGGCCGGCACGGGGACAGGGGGTACCCGGACCTCCAGCAGGCGCCCATGGCGGCGCCGCGCGTCGAGCAGTTCTCCGCAGGTGCGTGACGTGCTCCTTGCTCAGCTACGTGTTCCACGGCTTGGGGTGGGTGGGTGGTTGGGTCTTGGGTGGACTGGACTGGATCCCGGCGCGCGCTAGTTGGTGGGTGGGTTCGGATCCCGGCGCGGTGGTTGATTTCCCCCGCGTGGTGGTTCAACCGCACCAGGCCTGCTTGATCTGAATTAGTACGGCTCCGTGTAGCTTGCGGCCATCTTTGCGTGTTGAATTAGCGTCTGTAGTTAAGAAATTCTTGATAGGCAAAGGGAGAAGAAAGTAGGAACCATCTTGACTTGTTGGACAGATTGTTATTTACTACAAATTAGGTTCATTTACTACCTTAGGCCTTGGAGAGATGTAAAGGTCGTCGGGATATGAACTCGTGGACTGATGCAATCAGCACATGCTAGTTTAGATAGTGATTCTCTTTGTCTGAGTCGGACTGCTGATTAGTTACTGAATCTACCTCTTGTACTTGTCTATGTGTGCAGTGGCTGAGAAAGCAAGAGTTAAGAGCAATGTGGTCACCAAACAGGCTTCGGTGCCAAAGGATGCCAATGGCAATGTCATCTCAGCTCAGACTTTCACCTTCCGTGAGCTCGCCACCGCCACCAGGAACTTCAGGCCCGAGTGCTTCCTGGGCGAGGGAGGTTTTGGACGTGTTTACAAGGGTCGCCTTGAGAGCACAGGCCAGGTAACTTTGAGTTAAGCAAGTGCGACCTTGCTCTTTTCTTGCTGTCTGCTGTCAAAGAATAGTGTTAGTAGCAAACTGCACTGTTGTAGAATTGGGACTTTGTTTTAGCCCACAGATTTCATGTGTCCATAAGTGAAATAGTAGCTATTCTGTGGAGAGCTGTTTTGCTTGATTCTTGTCTTTTGACAATAGACTAGAAGAATTGGCACTGCTCGTTCTAGTCCAAATGTTAAAACAGTCCATGTTGTGGAATAGTAGTTGTTCAATGGAGCTTACATTCTTAGATTTGCATACCTTATGTTCTTGTCTTTTGCTAGTTTACTGAAAGAATATGATGGACAGTAGATGCAAAAGAGAAACGAGGCTGGATTAAAAAAAAATTATGGTTCAAGTGTGATTGTTTGCTGCAGGTTGTTGCTATAAAGCAGCTTAACAGGGATGGGCTTCAAGGAAACAGAGAATTTCTTGTAGAAGTTCTCATGCTCAGTTTACTACATCATCAAAACCTGGTTAATTTGATTGGTTATTGTGCTGATGGAGACCAGCGACTTCTTGTGTATGAATATATGCCCTCCGGATCACTGGAAGATCATTTGCACGGTACAAATGCTGTTCCTGTGTGCTGTATTGAAACTGTTTGCCTATGACCACTATCTGTCAGCATTCCAACCAGTGTTCTCTGTGTGACTAGATGCATGCCTGTCCTAGGGGGTGTTTGGTTGCCCCTCCTAAATTTTAGTCATTGTCCCATCGGATGTTTGGATACATGCATGGAGTATTAAATATAGACTAATTACGAAACTAATTGCATAGTTTGTGACTAATTTGCGAGACGAATCTTTTAAGCCTAGCTAATCCATGATTTGACAATGTTTTGCTACAGTAAACATGTGCTAATGACGGATTAATTAGGCTTAAAAAATTCGTCTCATGGAGTACTGACGGATTATGTAATTTGTTTTTTTATTAGTATCCGAACACCCCATACAACATCCTCCCGACACACCTCCTAAATTTTAGTAGCCAGATCCAAACACCCCTCTAGTGTGTGTCTGCCTGTCTGTCACATGCTTGCTTGTCTAGGGTTGTCAGCTTGTTCTATCTTTGTTAGTCTTCTGCTCTTTATTGTATGCATCTATCTTCATTATTCTTCCTTTTTATACTGGCAGATGTTTGGTCCGTAGCCCTTCACACACTACCAATAACATTACTATTTTGCTTTTGAAATCTATTCAAGACCCATTGGTGACGCAGGGTGCCATACTGTGCACCCCTCTATTAGCAATCTTTATATTACATTTTCCTCACATTTTACCCTCTGTTAGTGTATCATCCTTCTGTTACAGTTCCTCACATTTTAACTGTTGTTAATGTAATGCAATACAAATTTCTTTGACTGTTCATTTGGTGTAGTTAGGACATTGGTTATGATATATAAGTTAGATGTTTTTCCCTTCTGCTTTGTGCACTGAGGTTGAAACAATATTGCAACAAATTAAATTTTTGTGCATTCTACCAAAGTTTACCCTTAAAGGTATACCACATGCTGGAACCAATTGAATAAATGATCTTGTCGGAATATCTTATTTTGTGATTGGGTTTAAACATAATAAATAAATTTAACCAACCTAGGAGGAGTTAGGTGCCACTGTAAATTGAAGAGGATTTGAACCAGCTCCCACCAACTAAGCTAGGCTGACTGGCTGAGTTCCTACTATTTGAACTTCTCTTAAGGCCAGTGTTGTTGTAAACGGCCATGTAGTCCGTTTACATGCCATTTAAATGCTACACGATGACCAGCCGTGCCCGTTTATTTGGTCGTTTATCCCATTTAATTGACCGTGTAGCTAGTATTGAGAGGCAAGTATGCCTCTAACAGGACACCCATGAGCTCACACACAAAGAACACACGTGAGCACAAGTGGATTTGGTGGCTGGCATGACTGAGCCTTTTCTGTTTTTTCTCTTCTACTAATGTAGCCAAACGTGAGCTACAAATCAGGCTGTGATAGCCTCCTAATTAATGCAGAATATTACCCAACTAATCAGCCTATTATTACTCCTATTACTACATGCTGAAATTTAGCTAAAGTAAATGCTATGAACCTAGACACTAGCATGCACCTAGACACACAGGATTATTTCCAATTAGTTTAAGTGGCCTTGTAGCCCAAATAAATGCTAAACGATAGGTGCCCAATTGTTTACCGTTTAGTGTTTTGGTGTTTTTAGATTTTATTATCTCAAAATGTGCACCATTTGATCCGTTTTAAAATTAGTTTGTTACTCTGCCATAGTTTTGCATTCTTTGAACTAATTCTCCTTCATTTCATCAACTGCTATGTCAGAATTTATAGCTTGAACCAGTGGCTCACTTTATGAACTTAATGTCTGAATGATTGTTCTTGTGTACAGTTTGGGGATATGTGATAGCGTACTACAATGTCTTAGCTTTCTTCCTTCAAGTAAATAAATACATAAGATATTCCTCTAAACAGTGAGTTCATTTCGTTTTAATCTGCCGAGGAGTCTCTTGTTTGACCTAAATGGTTCCACTTGATGTAGATCTACCTCTTGATAAGGAGGCCTTGGACTGGAACACCAGGATGAAAATTGCAGCAGGTGCTGCCAAAGGACTGGAGTACCTTCATGACAAAGCTAATCCGCCAGTTATTTACAGGGATTTCAAGTCATCGAACATTCTGTTGGATGAAAGTTTCCACCCGAAGCTGTCTGACTTTGGACTTGCTAAGTTGGGTCCAGTTGGCGACAAATCACATGTCTCAACACGTGTAATGGGTACATATGGTTATTGTGCACCAGAATATGCTATGACAGGGCAGCTGACAGTGAAGTCCGATGTGTATAGCTTTGGGGTTGTCTTGCTAGAGTTGATTACTGGCCGTAGGGCTATTGACAGCACCAGACCACATGGCGAACAAAATCTTGTCTCATGGGTAAGTAATGATCTGTTTACATGTAAATGACCGTGTGTTACCTTTTTTCTTATATCTTCACATCGTAGTATGTCTGTTGGCACCAGACACTAACTACTTGTAGATACTGTAGCCATATAGCATCACTTTGTTGCCAGAAACATTGGATCGCTAGTTAAATATATTTTTTATTGATTTTCACTAAATTCTCCAAGTAATCAGGCCTCTCATCCTCTACTCCACATCCTAAATGAACACAAACCATTGGTTTACAAGCAAGTGGTAATGGTTCTACATGAAATAATGGTTAAATTACATTTTTGACTTATGTTAAACTGCTGCTGGGTCACTCAAGACTAGGGTAGAGGAATTGGAGATGCTAGCATATACTGTAAAGGTCATATTTCATTTTGTTTGGACGACCCCCTTCGACCAACAGTTACTTTATTTACACATAATTTTTGTCACGCGAAAATAAATGTTATTAGATTTGTATAAAGAAAATACTTTATAATTTTGCATCACAAAAAAATGACATTATTGGAGTAATTGTTGGTCAAAGTTTTGTCCTAGGAAATGAAATAAGCCTTGTAACTTCAAACGGAGGGACTATTGTGAACTGAGCAAGTAGAATTTGTCATCTGCCAACCTCCATTATGCTGATTTTCCTGGTTGGTTAGAACAGATTGTATGTTTGTGGTTGGAAAGGATAAAGTGCATGTGCTCACACTGATCATTGGTTGGCAGGCACGTCCTCTTTTTAATGACAGAAGAAGGCTCCCTAAGATGGCTGACCCGAGGCTGGAAGGGCGATACCCCATGCGTGGGCTTTACCAAGCCCTTGCGGTGGCTTCCATGTGCATTCAGTCAGAGGCTGCTTCACGCCCATTGATTGCAGATGTCGTGACTGCTCTGTCCTACTTGGCATCCCAGCCTTATGATCCCAACGCAGCTCTTGCTTCAAGGAAGCCAGGTGGCGATCAGCGAAGCAGGCCTGGTGAGAACGGCAGGGCGGTTTCCAGGAACGACGAGACTGGAAGCTCCGGCCACAAGTCACCAGGCAAGGACCGGGAGGACTCACCTAGGGACCTCCCAGCGATCCTGAACAAGGACCTTGAACGTGAGCGCATGGTGGCGGAGGCGAAGATGTGGGGCGACCGGGAGCGGATGGTTGCCGAGGCGAAGATGTGGGGCGACCGGGAGCGCATGGTGGCCGAGGCTAAGATGTGGGGCGAGAACTGGCGTGACAAGCGGCGTGCAGAGAATGGGCAGGGGAGCCTGGACTAGCCGACTGGGAACAGCTAGGGGGCAGGCAGGTGAACAGAAACGAGGCCTTCACACATTCACCCATGCATATCGTTTGTTTATTTCCAGGTGGCCGGCAGGGCCAGGGCAGGGAGGGTTAGATGTACATTCCTAGGGCAAGGAAAGAGTGGGGAAAACAGCAGGCAGCGTTGTACTGGATAGTGAATGCATGTGGTTGTACTTGTAAATTCTCAGAAAAATTTTGTGAGAATGAAAGGACGCATTTGAGTTCCACTTGTAAATCGTTCTGTCTCCGGCTGTGGTCTGTCTGTTTGGGTGCCTGGGTCGTCTGGCCTCTTGCTCAGCCTATGCTGCTCAGTTTCTGGACGAAGGACGGCAGCTCCTATTCTCGCAACGGTCGGTCAGGAGTACCCGGCGCATTATAGTGAGTTCATCTTGTTCTCGTGACGGTCGCTGTGCTTGTGACCCTGGCACCCTGCGATGGAGGCAGGAACAGTCTGCGACTGAGCTTGGATAAAAGAAATACCTCGATCAATTTCAGACGCTCGACACAACGCGACCGGACTGTCATCTCCGGCGCCTCCGAACACTTGTCCGGTGCGTGTTCTCGGCTGTGTGGTCTGTTGTGGCCATGGTTGGTTCCTCTGACCTGAAAGGGCGCCCTTGTTGCCATGCCACACGGACACGGTTGTAGTTTTGAGTTGTGACGCTGTCGGGGCCGGGGCCCGGCCACCTTGCCTGCGCGAGCAAGCAAGTAAGAAGCAAGGCAGCGCCGAGACGGTGCTCGGTCGGGTCCGCCGATTCGACGGCGACGGCCGTGCGGGGCCGCGGCTGCCGACGCCCCGAAGTCCGAACCGAGGGGCGGCGAGGCCCCTGCCGGCCTGGGGACCGCTTGGTCCAAGTTGGCTTGCCCGGAAACTGTATACGCGCGCGCCCGCATCGCACGTGTTTGTTGCGTGCGCCTCCCGCCGGCCGGGCTTGTGGTCCAGCACAGGTGGCGCACAGAAGCCGGCCGGGCCGGATATTTCAGCCGTGCCGCGTTGCTGCTAGCTGCCTCTCTGCCGTCGCCAGCCACTTGGTTGGCTTACCAGTTAAGCGCCTACAGCAGCAGCCCCTCTCGGCGAGAACGATCGTTATTGCTCTACTACGGAGCGGCGGTACTGGCACAATACAATCAGCATGTTGGCTCAATTATAGGGGCGCACCGCACGCCGCGGCACTGGTACTGTGCGGCGCATGATGGGATACATGGGGGGTCTTTGTGTGGTCGACCGTGCGCGCGTTGTGCGTGTTGGAATTGAAGGCGCCTTGCCTACGTCTTCTTCCCGGAAGTCGTTGAAGACGCGGCGGCGGAATCGTGCAGCGTGCCTGCAGCTGGAATCATGCAGACTATACAGTGGCTAGCCTAGCCACCGTCAGAAAAGCTCCGTCGATCGGTGACGTTTTCTCTTTCCCCTGCACGCTCCGAATTTGGTTGCCTGCTGCAATTGCAAGCCTGCAATCATGCCCTGGACCCTGGTCGCCATCATCAAGACGCCCGGGCAGCAAGACACGACGCGATACGGCTGAACTCTTTGGCGCCGCTTTTGGTTGCCACTTGTGGTGTGCTGCCGGAATTGCAAGCCATCAAACGACGGAGCACGCCATGGAGAAATCATGCTACCTGGACCTGGTCGCCATCGGGTTCATCATGTTGTGGTAGCTTCGTCCTAGAGGGCAGCAAGACACTACGCTAAAAGAGAGTAGGCCGGCCGCGATACGGCTGACAACTCTTTGGCGCCGCTTGCATTGGTCGTGCCACTTGTGGTGTGGCCACCCGGAAGAGCAAGCCATCAAACGACGGAGCACGCCATGGAGAAATGCATGGCTACTTCGGGTGCGACAACGCTGCCATCGGGTTCCTCATGTTGTGTCCTGCCTCCTTCGAGGCCCTAGTTCCTACTCGGCGTACGTACACGTACGTGAGCCGTGAGGTCATGCCAAATCCGTCACCCGTCGTGAGTAAGCACGATGAACAATATGCCTGCCACGCAAAATCGTGTTCACCCCGTTTATTTATTTTTTAGAAAAAAGCTATCCGTACAGTGCGATCGGTTAGGACTCAGGACTATTGTGCTCGGAGAAGTGAGAGACACGGACTGTAAGTAGGGGAGAGACTCAATGACAAGAAATTTTCACTATTCAATATTAAGTACAAGTATATAGATATCGATATTAATATATATATATATATATATATAGTAAACATGTATGTGCTTTACAACAGAGCGTATAATTTGTTGCGTGGTGCTTGTGCAAATAATAATGTGCTAGCTATTCTTGTTGAACTTAATTGGAGTTGGCAATGGCCTAATCTTAAGTCAAATAAATTTCAAGGCCCATAATAAATGCTATGCATTAATTGATTAATCATGTATATACACATTTGATAGAAGATTGATTCCATTTAAATAGATAGTTATAGCTATTGTGTATATTTGTTGTGAGTTAAGAAATGTGGAAGACGATAGATACAGAGACTTTGAGACTTGAGAGAGGGAAGCCGTGTGAGTAGGCTGAAATTCAGTGAAGCTGAGCTGATCCGCGCGACTGGGCCAAAACCCAGCATCTGTGGCGTAGGCCTCCCGGGCCACGTGATGGGCCTAGGCCTAACCCCGCGTTGACAAGGCCTGCTCCACCCACCCGCCGCGCTCTGCGCCTGCTGCAGCTGCCGGCTAGCGACGGTGGATTTTCGCCGCGCCCCGCTCGTCGTACTACTACTAGACACACGCGACGCGACGGAGACGTATTACGCGGACGGGACAGCGAGCTTTTTGGGTCTGGGGGTCTCCAGTGCTCCAGTGCGGTGCCCCAGCAGCAGCTGCCGCTCCCTGCCCTGCCCTGCCCTACCCGTCGCACCCAGTGCGCTGCGCTGGCAGATGAGAGTCGCTGGATCGGAGCCAGGCGCGTCCCCGGTCTGTCCAGTCCGGTGAAGAGGTTGCTACAGGCGCTGCAAGCAGTGTACGCCGCTCATACAAACAAAAACAAAAGGTCAAGCTTTTGTTGCATGCAGGCTGACGGGTTTAGCTGAATGCGGCAATTCTTTACATGAAGCTTTGAGCTCGCCGATGAATGAATCTATAGATAAGGAGTTAGCCTGTCCGTGCCCTGTGTATCGACCTCTCTTTCACTTATTACTTCTCTGTTGCGGATGCAGATGCAGATGCACATGCAGTTGTAGCAACAGTGTGGATGGTCGAGACTCGACTCTCGAGAGGCAGCGGATGTGATCTGCAGGGTAACCTCGCCATCCCAATCCAACGAAACATCGTGACTTTGTTGATTCTTTCTAGAAATGTTATGAGTCTACTTGAAAAAAAAACATTGAAAACTATGCACACCCGTCACAGACCACGGGCGTGCAGGGTAGATCACGGTGGCGACAGAACCCGGAATCCATGGAGGCCAGGGGCAGACCACACAGGCCGGCTCCGGCTCCGGCTGCGACTGCGATGCGGCCGTATGCATGAGGTGGTGGGGAGGGACCAGCGCGAGCAGAGCAACGACATCAACTGACCAGAATCTAACGGCACCAGGAAACGAGGAGCCTGACAGCGACTTGCTTGGGATCAAATGTTGCCGCGCCGCGCACCCCTATTTCGATCTTCCCCAAATCTCATCCCGCACCAGCAGGAGCTAGCGGCTGGTCATTACGCGGTCCATCCAGTTCTTCCGAGATATCATCATCAGTGGCCGGGAAAACTATATATACTGACTGGCGTCGCCGATGGCTAGTTTATCTGTGTTGTGTCGCATCGCACAGACGCACACCTCGTGCCTGAGCCTGACTGCCATGGCCGGGTCGTTTTCACCATCTCATCATCCCACATGCGCACCGTTGGCCAGACCAGCCGCCGAGCAACGAAAAGGCGCACCTGTTTCTTCGCTTCAGCCGTTCAGCGCCCGGCGGTGCACGCGACGGGAACGAAGACTAGTAGTAGTACTGCTAGCTCCTTTGCAAACGCAACGGGACAAGGCAGGCTTGAATGCGCACGTCTGTCCGTCCCGCCCCGCCTGGCCCTCCATGCTCCAGCTTTCCCGGGGCGCAGAGGCCTCGTTCGCTTGCGCGTGCATCTGCATATGCCGCTGCTGCCGCTGCCCGCTGCCTGCCGAGTCGCGCAGCGCCGCACACTTGTCCCGCCCCGCCCGCGCGCCGTACTCGTACTATTCCTCTGCGCGTGACCACCTGCCTGGCTGCCTCTGCCCTCTGCTGGGCTCCTCAGGTTGTGCCCGTGGAAATGAAAGGTCGAGTGCATGGGCCAATAGCAGTTTGGCACGGCCGGACGTCGCACGGGGCCACGGGGGGCGGGTGTTGATTCGTTGCACAAATTACCCCGCCATGGACACACACACGAAGCGGAAATGTAGTTAGAACGAGCAGTGAATAGTGATTAGTGAATCGTCCATTCCAAGTTTATTACTGCGACGGCATCAATGGAATGAAAACAATCATCAGACTACTAGGACACACAGGGCGGCAAGCTGATGGGAATCGATTACAGACTCACTCACACAGATCTAGAAACAGAGAGCCTAGCAGCAGCTAAGCCGTCTTCTTCTGAATCTGATGAAAACCAACCAAACCAACCCTCTCAGCTCGATCGCATTATCTCATCTCTCGCCGGTTCATCACACAGGCCAGTACGGCTGGCCCGCGGGTGTCAAGGCGCTACTCGCCTAAATAGCTAGGGCCCGGCTACTTCCATTCCACTCGACGGGTCGGTCAAGTCAACGGGCCTGCATGCATGCAGCCAGTACATCTGGCCGCTGCTGTAGCGTAGTAGCAGCCCATTGCCCTTCCTTACTACTGACTGATCGATATCGACTCACTCACTCTGCTACTTACTAGTAGACTTTAGCCAACCTACGCCTCCACGGCAATGGCCATGTCGGGCTTGATCATCGCCGGCTGCTCCGGCGCCGTGGGCACGCCGGGTCCGTCGACCACGCTGGCCACACCGTCAGCGCCTGCTGCTGCCGCTGCGGTGCAGGTGGTGGCAGGCTCCACGTCCACGTCGATGACCACGACGATCTGTGGATCGTGGACCTCCACCACCGGCAGAGTGAGAGTGTCGATGTCGATGGGGTGCACCTCGGCGCCGCAGCTCGCCCTGCTGCCCTCGTGCGCCACCGCGGCGGCCACCTCCTTGCTGGCGTGCTCCGCCGGCAGCTTCACCTCCTCCACCATCCCCACCGCCGCCGCGGCGGGCTTCTTGTTCCTGTACGCCATGTACAGCGCCATCTGCGCGACGCCGAAGACGAAGCCCAGAACGTTGGGAGCCGCCACGAACACGTCCTTCTTGAGCGCGCCGTACGCGAACCAGATCACGGCGCTGAGCACCAGGAAGAAGGAGAGCGAGATGGGCATGAACTCCACGCTCTTGGTCCGGATCACCTGCCGCTGCAAGAGTACAAGTAGGTAGCGAATGCATGATTAATTTCAAACCAACTGCAACTGGTGGCGTTAATTTAACTAACTAACAAAGAACGGAAAAACAGAAGAAATTACTGTAGTAAATACTTGCAGGAGTATGAACGTACCATGATGCTGAGCGGCGCGGCGAAGACGCTGAGCGCGACGCTGACGCAGATCCAGCCGAGCACGTGCACGCGGAGGCCGCCATTGGAGAGCACCATGGTGACGAGCGCGACGAGGCCGAAGACGCCGACGTTGAGCCCCAGCAGCATCTTGGCCGTGAGCACCCGGGCGGCCTTGGGCGCGTACACCAGGTACATGCCCAGGTACACGGTCTCGATGACGCAGCCGACGCCGTTGATGGTCACCAGCAGCTCGGCGCCGGACTTGAGCAGCGCGTAGAAGATCCACAGCATGCAGCTGAAGAGCGTCACCACGTACGGCGTCGACTGGAAACCCTCCGTCGACTTCTTGCGGTACACGCGGTAGAACGTCGGCCTGCAATAATTAATAATGCAAAATAATTAACCACGGATCAATATAATCTCTCGGTCATATCGTATTTCTCGGTAGTTTTAATTTCTGCGGTCATGATTAATTGCTGACTAATTATGACTAGTATAATTGATTTTACCATGTGATTAGATTGCAACTATGTGTTGTTCAATAATAGCATGTACAACACACCTACCGAACAGTGACACTAAGTGTGACGTGCAGTGCCAGATTTTTCCTTTCCTTTTAATCTCCCTCTCTCTCATTCGACTCCTGATGAATGCGAGAATTTAATTCTCAGCAAGTTTCCTCCTAGCTATGTTGCCTTCAGGTATGAGAAGAGATTCTAGAAGAGTATATGGAGCATGGACGATGGTGACACCTCATAGATTCATCAGTGATGAGATACGCATGCGTGCGATGTTGTTTAATATATATTCCCTACCTGAGGGTAGTATCTTGGACTTTTTTTCTTAACTTACTAAACATTGGTCTTAGATATTGTAAAACTAAATATGAAAAAATCACCGTAGGTTAAAAAAGGCAAACAAATTAATTAAAGCAGAGATCTGAGTTACTTACAGCGGCGAAAGAAACACCATCAGTGAGATTATGTTACCTGCAAAGCAAACCAAGATCGGAGCATCAGGGACGCAGTCAGTTAAATTGCTTTGATTGATTGATAGAGTAGATGAAGAGTAGGAAATGGAGATCGATCGAAAAGAAGAAAAAAAAAGCATGCGAGAAGAAGAAAGACATCTGATCCGGGGTTGGCTGCAGGCAGAAGAAATGAAACAAACTCCTAATAGTCATGTACGACGCGCGCGCGCACACACACAGGCGCGCCGTTCCGTTGCACGGTACGGTTCTCGTGAAGGTACATGTAACATGTATGACGGCTTGGGTTTCTTTGTTTGGGCTAACCACCTCATTAGGTCCTAAAAGCTTGGGTTCCATTTATTCAGATGGCTACTACTATGGTGTGGCGAGGACATGTTGTTGAGTTGTTCTGTACGCATCTCAAAGGCCGTGATGAAACTGATCAACTACTACTGGTAGATATATAATCAACCAAAAGCTTATATATATATATATTTTTTTTTTTGAAAAGTTCAGGAACCAAAAGCTTTACTTTGGCGACTGTGCTTTGGAGCCTGCTGGAATGAAGGACTGAAGACGATGATGCCATGTATGCATCTCAATCAAAAAAAGGATATGGGAGAAGGAAACAATGCAGAAGCTGATGAGGAGAGGAAGGCGGCACATCGATCTGAATGCGCGCGCGCAGCCCGGCCGGCCCGTCGATCCGGTTGACGATGCTGTTAATCAGTAGGAGTAACATGTACCTAGGATACCAAAGGTGAAGGCCCAGGTCTGCAGCTCCATGTTGAGGAAAGCCATCTCGATCGATCTCCCTTGCTTGGTTATCCGGCCTCTTGATCGAGCAGTCAATAATATGGAGAAACGGCCGGCGGTCCTGGAGTGGACAAGGAACGAAGGAGAGAGGCCAGGTGCAGGTGCAGAGGGCAGAGGAGAGGAGGAGGCTCTCAGCTGCCTTGGGCTCTTGGGAACCTTGGAGCCAGCGGGCCTCCTATATATAGGGAGAGCCGCCGGAGAGGCCACCAGGAGAGGGAGAGCTGCTGAGGAAGAGGAGGAAGAGCGCTCAACAAGGGGGAGAGGGGGGTTATTAGCTGTGTGGGCCCGTTAGATCTATATGATTACACAATGACTTGGCGCGCCGTGCTTGCTTTGCCTCCTTTGCTTTTGGCGCCGCGGCGAGAGAGAGAGAGAGAGAGACACTGCGCAGCAGCACATACTACACGGTAGCTCAGCTGGTCATTTTGTGCTGGAGGCCATCTTTGATTTGTGCTTGCGCGTGCACACACGTTGCATTGGCTCCTGGCTTATCATCAGGCAACGAAAGCCCTGCTAGCTGCTGCTGCTTTCGATATTATTATCGTCGTAACGCTAACGCCCCGTGACATGTCAAACACCACCAGCAGAGAGGCGGCGTTCGGCCCAAGCCCCGCCATTCCTGGCCGTCTGTTGCTGTGTTGGGGCATGGATGCGGCGCAGCAGGTGCAGGTCACACACTGCCCCTGCCTTGCCCTGCTAGTTGTCGTAACGGCCCGCTCACGCTTTGTACAAAAGATACGGCACATCCCCGCGTCGTGACGAGCTTTTGCGGGGGAGCGCCAACGGACAGCACCCTTGAGTGCTGGCCTCGCAAGTAATGCAGCATTCGGGCAGCCGCAGTCGCGCAGACGCAAACGCAAACCCAGACCTGACCGGCCGCTAGCTGCGTGCTGCGTGCCGAACGAACGGGAAGGGGCCGCCGAGCCAGGGCCCAGGGGAGGAGGGGCCGAGGGACACGTGATGAAACGTCTACAAGCATGAAGCGCCGAATGAAACGCGCGGTGCCGCGGCGGATCGGAGAGGAGTCGAGGAGAGAGCCCGGCCGGTTTCGCGTCCACATCATCACGCGGCAGCGGGGCAACAACAAGGCCAGCAGCAGGGTGTGGCCGTCGTCTCGGCGGCGCGCGGGTGATTCCTGATGGTAACAGTGCTCTTTACGTGTTCCGTCCCGGGGCTCCGCCGCTAACCGCAAACCGGCGCAGGCTCCTCTCGCGTGTGCTCTGCTCGGTTCTGCTGCCATCCAGCTCCCCTTGCTGCTGCTACAGGATTACTGCTGGCAGGTTCGCGGCGCCACGTTACCGCCAAAATATCGCCGGCAATTAATGGGTGACCCCGCCATACACGGATACGGCAAGGGTAGGCGGTACACGTATAACCAACCGATCGGATGGCAGGCAGGTGAGCTGCGCATTTTTGGACTAAGCTAGTAGAGTCCTCCATTTGTGGCATGGAAACGTACGCCCACGGAAGAAGCTATAACGGACGGGACGACGACCCAGCCAGCCAGCCTGATCTTGCGTCGATGGAGAGAGCCTGGATGGAGCCACTTGATCACGCGACAGGCAGGCTATTAAGCAGCGTTTCGAGGCTTTTAACTTTTAAGGTAAGAAAAACGCTCACATGTAAAACCAACAAATTTGATAGACTGATAGAAATCGTGTATATTCAATCATAAGTGTCGAGGTGCATGTCAGCACGAACATCGATAAATGATGGAAACGTGAATACTTCTCATTCAGGCCACGAAGAACATTAAGAACAAGAGTGCGATCGTGCACAGGCTCGCCAAGATCGCCGAGCGCGTCGGCCATACTCTTCATCTTCCGGAGGTAATCGGTCATGGAGAGGTCACCTTGGAAGAAGTTGCGGAGTTCGGCGTCGAGGAGGAGGGCGCGAGTCTCCCGATTGCCGATGAATTGTTCCTTGATGCCGAGCCAGACGCGGCGAGCAGTGGGCGCGGTGACAATCTCCGAGAGCTCAGCGGAGATGGTGTTCTGGAGCCACCCAAGAAATGTGCACTCCATGCGTGCCCACGCTGAGACCATGGGGAAGGCCTCGTCGGAGAGCACGTGATCCGTGAGGGCATATTTGCCCACGACGAGGAGAAAGAGGTGGCGCCACTTGGAGTAGTTGGGGGTGCTGAGATCGAGGACGACCGGGACAAGCGTCCGGATGTTGGGAAGGGCAACTGCCTGGGAGTGGAGGTCGGCTATGGCAGCAGCCTCGCGAGCACGAGCTTCGGCTTCCAGGTGAGCGCGCTCGTCGGCCTCAGACTTGGCATGTGCGGCGCGATCGGCCTTGGCGTCGACGAGGGCATCAGCGTTAGCCTTAGCCCGAGCAACGCGCTCGGCCTCGGCTTCACGGGGACGATTGAGCCGGAGAGCGCCATGGGCAAGGGAGGGAGGACACCGGACTGGGGTTAGCTGGCGGCGAGAGCTAGAGTAGGTCGTAGGATGCGGCGGCTGATACCATGATAGACGATAGAAATCGTGCATATTCAATCATAAGTGTCGTGTACATGTATATACTATAGCTTTCGTATCCAACCGACTCATAGAAGTATTGTTCGGTGGATAGAAAGCAAATGCCAATCAAGGCCAGACTTGCCAAAACAGTACACGCCAATCAATCAATGGCTAAACACGTTGGTATGCATGGATACAGTGCAAGGATTCATTTGTCTAACAAAATTAACCCAAGGACGACGGGAGTGATCGGAACGGTGACTTCTGCTCTCTTTTGTAATCTTCTTCAAGTAACTGTCCAGGTTACATTTTAATAAAAATTTTCAGCAGGGGTCCTTGACCCCGCCTGTTCCCTCAGAACAAATTACAGCAGCCCGATCGATGGAGCCAAATGTAGCTTAGCTTCCAACGATATATATATGATGTCCAAACTAAATTGAACTGTCTAACAGGGCCATCTAATTCTGGTTCTGCTGGCATGGGATCGCGACGCCAGAAAAACAACCGCCGCCGCCCTTCACCGACCCTCCTCCCTCCCATCCGGCCACCTCGCCGATTCGTAGAGGAGTGTGAACCCGACCTCTCTGTAGTTTCTAGTTTTTTTTTGTTATTCCTTATTCGTTAAGTGTTTGGTTTATGGCATCATCAACGAATACACGAGGTGGTGGCGAAGATGACGCATTGGAATAAAGTCTCTACGGTCTCTTCCTACCCGTCCACGTTCGATCCAATGTTGATGAAGGGCCAGAGAGAGTTTGATTTGTTAGATCTATTGGTTCCCTTCAGATCTTGGCGGCAATTGGTGTGTTTATCAAGGGAAGGAGTCGGTTGGCCTCTTTTCGCGGTGATTTCGACCTCTTCTTTTGGTTTGTTCTATTGCAAGATCTGACATCTCCAATATTGTCATTTCCGCGCGTTTTTCAATCTTCGACAGGCAATGGTCTATCAAAGGAAGAAGATAACTAGTTTGATCTTCAATGTATTTTTATTTTGTAGAGATCATTTTGTGTCAAGTTGTTTGTTTATACGAGCTATTGTTTCCCTCAATATATATATATATGAGACACTCTTTGTGTGTCTTTCTCAACAACAAAAAAATAAAAAGCTTTCGATCGATCGGCTGTCCACCAGCAGTTAGCAGCCCAGCTAGCGCCCCAGCGGTGTCCAAACTGAAAGCTGCCAGTCTGCCACGTTTGCATGCATAATATGCGCAATGCGCGCGAGCCAGCCAGCTTGGCCTGGCTTCTCCTCCCGCGGACGCAACGCAACCCAAGATGATGATGGCTTGCCAAGTTTGTTGCTCTCGTGTCATGCGCATGCATCATGCATATCCACCGCTTCCAATCATGCATGGATCGTCGATCGATCGGAGCCAGAGAAACAAACGCGGTGCGCGAGTCGTTGTGGTCCGGATCGGAGACAACGGTGGTGACGTGACGCCCCGACCCCGACCCCGCCTGCCGCCGCCAGGCTCTCTAGTTCCGCTTGCCTACGACAACGATGACCATCATTGCGCGCCTCTGCAGGAGCAGGACTGTATGATTGTGTGGCGCTAGCTAATTAATGGCGTCCCTAAGCTAGCTCCTCCCAGCCATGGATCTATGAGCCGCGCGCAGGGAGGGCTAGCCAGTCGTTTTTGCTGCGACTATGATGAGTGATGTCAAATGATTTGCTGGTAACGACTAACGACGGATTGACCAAGCATACGTACATCATTAATTACGTTGCACTGCTGGACCTTACTAGTCATGCAGAAGCCACGCCGCACTTGTTCCGATACTCGTGTGTTTATTTATATTCTTTATTATATACTCCATGCATGGCAACAGAAATTATTTATAAAAAAAAATTATTAGTAGTTTATTTATTTGAACTCATAGTTTGAATGTATTTTTAAAAAACTTAACCAAAGTCAAACAAGTTTGACTTAGGGTAAAACTAAAATAAGTTATAGTTTAGAAGCGGCCGGCCTGCTCATGTAATTACTTTTATGAATGTTTGGTTTATTAGCTAGGACAACCACAGGGAGCAGCTGCTAGATACAATATATATAAGAGAAGATAACTTTCACGTATTTTTTAATAATTGTTTCTCAAAGTTAGACAAGTTTGATTTAGAGCCAAAGCAGGAAGAGAACGTCCGATTTGGAACGGTGGAAGTAGTTCACAGCCTGGGATTCTCTAAAGCAACAACTGTCAACTAGGTGAATGAATTATGCTCAGCTTGCCGCAAATCTGGGATCCGATGGATGTGACAGTCAGCTTTCGTATACACGATGATGAAGAGGTGAAAAGAGGCTTGATGTGCCGTCCGTCCGCTCGATCAACCACAGGAAACACTCAGATCACAACATATACATCAGCTTATTACAACATATATAGTATCAGGGGGGGCGAACGGTCCAAGGGTACGTTTATTAAGTTCTCACTTATCACTTACTCCTCGATAGATCGCCCCCTACTAGCATTGGTTACGTACGTACAGTTTATTGTACATGATGTGCTCTAGCCTGTGGTAATT